CATGAACTCCATTCTTGAAGCCTCCACGTCCCATTCATTTTAGAAACACAATAGCCAGTCTTCTGCCATCCTCTTGTCCCCTCCCCCTGCACAGACACTCTCCACTGAAAGCGTTTCCATTGCATTCTCTGATGACTGCTTAGTTGCTTTACCCTACAGATGCCTACTTCAAGGTCCAACTTAACGTGTGGCCTTTGACACTCCGATCACTTCCTAGAACTGCCTAGAACTTCCTAAAATTCTCTCCCCTGGTTCTCCTTCACCCATCTCATCATCCCTCTGAGTTTCCTTCAAAGTCCTTAAAAGGTGGAGTTCCCCAGAGTTCTCTGGAAAGAACTCTCTACATGCACTCTAGGATGTGGTCCTACTTACTCCCAAGACATCAGCTTTCAGGTTTAAACTATCCCCTCCTGACCCACTCATCCAAATGTCTCAAATTGGCAGCTGTCTTCAGGACACACACTTTTTTAAAGTTCTGGGGTACATGTGCAGAACCTGCAGGCTTGTTACATAGGTATTCACATGCCATGGTGGTTTGCTGCATCCATCACCCTATTATCTACATTAGGTATTTCTCCCAATGCTATCCCTCCCCTATCCCCCCACTCCCTGCTATACCTTCTCTAGCCCCCCACCGCCTGACAAGACCTGAAGTGTGATATTCCTCTCCCTGAGGACACTCACTTTTTAGACCTACTTGGCATCTCCTCTTGGTTACCTCCTGGGCACCTTAAACTCATTCCATCGAAAACATCTGCACCCACCACCACCTCCTCTTCCCTAATGCTCTTATCTCAATAAATGGCTCCATAACCTTACTGTCAAGCCCAGAAATCTACACATCACCCCAACAACTGAAAGTACATAATGTGAGGGTTCAGAGGAAGATTTCAGAAGCAGACTGACTCAGTCTGAGTCTCAACTCTCCCACGTGTCAGCTTTGTGTGTCATCACGGGTTAAATTTTCACCTCTCTGGGCCTCTGGTTTCTCATCTGTAAAATGGAGATAACCATAGGACCTGCCTCCCAGTGTTGCAATCATGGTTTGAAAAGCTAAGTTTAGAGACGATCCAAGATGGCTGATCGTTAACATCACGGGATGGCAGCTCCCAGTGAAAGCGCAGAGAAAGAGAGGACACCACACTTTCAGACAAATTTTGGTCGCTCACAGAGCAGAAGATTCCCAGTGGAGGAGCCGCACGGGTCGCCAGTGCGACTCTTGTGGCTGGCGCAGCGGTTTTGCCAGCACCTCGGGGCAGCAGCTCTTGGTGCAGAGTAAACGGGACTGGTTCCCCTTCTGACCGAGGTTTGGAGCTCCAGGAAGACAGAGTCTCCTATTACGGACTCAAGAAGGAAGCCAGACTGGAGATTCCCAGGCAGAAAAGCACCATCAGTCTTAATGTGGCTGTTTTGGCCGGTGCAGTGGGTTGCTCATATTTCAGCCCTGGGAATTAACAACTTGGACGTCCACTCAGAGACCTAATTTGAAAGTTGGTAATTACAAAGACAACAGGTGGATAAATGTACAAGGATGGGAAGAAACCAGCATAAAAAGGCTGAGAATACTCAAAATCAGAATGCCTCTCCCTCTAAAGAGGATCACAGTTCCTCATCAACAAGCGAACAAGGCTTGATGGAGAATGAATGCATTCCATGAACAGAATCAGGCTTCAGAAGGTGGATAATAAGAAACTTCTGTGAGTTGAAAGAACGTGTTGTAGCCCAATGTAAAGAAACTAAGAACTTTGAAAAAAGGTTTGACGAAATCCTAATGAGAATAGACAACTTAAAAAGAAATATAAGTGAATTAATGGAACTGAAGAATACAATATGGGAACTCCGAGAAGTATGCACAGGTTTAAATACTCGAATTGTTCAAGCAGAAGAAAGGATATCAGGGGTCGAAGTCCAACTTAATGAAATAAAACGAGAAGACAAGATTAGAGAAAAAAGGATAAAAATGAATGAGCAAAGTCTCTAAGAAATGTGGGACTATGTGAAAAGACCTAATTTACGTTTGATAGGTGTACCTGAATGTGACGGAGAGAATGAATCCAAGCTGGAAAATATTCTTCAGGATATTATTCAGGAAAATTTTCCTAAACTAGCAAAGCAGGACAATATTCAACCCCAGGCAATACAGAGAACACCACAAAGATATTCCTTAAGAAGAGCAACCCCAAGGCACATAATCGTTAGATTCACCAGGGTTGAAACAAAGGAGAAAATACTAAGGGCAGCCAGAGAGAAAGGTCAGGTTACCCACAAAGGGAAGCCTATCAGACTTACAGCAGATCGCTCAGCAGAAACTCTACAAGCCCGAAGAGAGTGGGGGCCAGTATTCAACATCCTTAAAGAAAAGAACTTTCAGCCCAGAATTTCATATCCTGCCAAACTAAGCTTCACAACTGGAGGAAAAATAAAATTTTTTATGAACAAGCAAGTACTCAGAGATTTTATTACCACCAGGCCTGCTTTACAAGAGCTTCTGAAAGAAGCATTACACATAGAAAGGAACAACCAGTATTAGCCTTTCTAAAAATATACCAAAAAGTAAAGAGCAACAACATAAAGAAGAATTTACATCAACGAATGGATAAAACAGCCAGTTACCATCAAATGGCAGTAATCCTAAATTTAAATTGACTAAATCCCCTATCAAAAGATACAACCAAAACCCAATGGTATGCTACATCCAGACCCATTTCACATGCAAGGATACACAAAGACTCAAAACAAAGGGATGGAGAAAGATTTGCCAACCAAATGGAGAGCAAAAATAAATAAATAAATAAAAAGCAGGAGATGCAATTCTCACATCTGATAAAATAGATTTTAAAGCAGTAAAGATATAGTGGTAAAAGGATCAATGCAACAACAAGAGCTAATGATCCTAACACCCAGATACACAGAGACTTAGACTCAATGAGACAGAAAATTAATAAGGATATCAAGGACTTGAACTCAGATCCGGAACAAGTAAACTTAATAAATATTTGTAGAGCTCTCCACTTTAAATACACAAAATATACATTCTTGTCAATACCACATCACACCTACTCATAGGTTTAAATGAAATATTGATTGGCCATTACAATACCCGTTTTTTTTTTTTTTAGAATAAAGCAACATTTCCGTTCTCTCTCCCTCTTTTTCTTCCTCTTTCTTCCTCTCCTTCACTCCTTTTTTTTCTTTCCTTCTCTCAAAAAAAAAGAAAAGCTAAGTTTTTGTAAAGCACCTCGCCGTATAGGTGTTTGTTTACCTCTTCTGCTGTTTTCATATTTTCATAAGCCATAATATTCCTTTCAGTGTAACAGCAGTGAGTATTTTCCATTGCCCTTAACATCCAAATTCCTCATTTTTGCATTCCTCACCCCAGCCCCAGCTCCAGTCCTCAGCCTAGGTAAAGGAAACACCCTGAGTATCCTTGTGCTCTCATCACTGGGACTCTTCAAATGTTCTTCCTTCTGCCTTGAAACATGCTTTCCCCCAGTTCCCAGCCCCTTTTGGCTGGCCAGCTCCTACTAACTCTTGAAGTTTCTAGTTGACTGTCATTGCTCTAGCAAGTCTTCTTCCAGGACTGATTTAGTGTCCAGCTATGACTCTCCACACCACCCTATAATTTATTTTGCATAGCATGTATGCTGTATTGTGATTTATTGGGAATGATTCTTTGTCCATTTCCTTGCTTAAGCTGTATTCTCTGTAAAGGAAGGCCCTAGGTCTCATTTACTTCTCAACTTCATTGCTTGGAATATCCTGGGTGCTGAGCACATGAATGAACCAGTGCATACACCCAGGATATCCCGAGCAGAGCTTATATCAAATAAAGAAATCATATAAAATATGGATTAGTAAACTCTTGGGAATGCGGGGAAGGTGGCCTAGAAAATTCACAATGTGATCTTGTGAGGACAGAATTGCATGATATTTTTTAGCATTAAATTTCGAATCCTCAGTGATAGGCTTCATTGCAGATTCAAATATAGTAGTCCGGCCAGGAGTGATGGCTCAAGCCTGTAATCCCTGCACTTTTGGAGGCTGAGGCAGGGGGATCACCTGAGGTCAGGAGTTCGAGACCAGCTTGACCAACAAGGAGAAATCCTGTCTCTACTAAAAATACAAAATTAGCCAGGCGTGGTGGCACACGCCTGTAGTCCCAGTTACTCAGGAGGCTGAGGCAGGAGAATTGCTTGTACCCGGAAGGTGGAGGTTGCAGTGAGTCAAGATCACACCACTACACTCCAGCCTGGGCAACAAGAGTGAAACTCTGTCTCAAAAAATAAAATAAAATAAAAACAAATATATTAGTCAGTTTTTAGAGTAGAGTAAGATACTCCAGGTCTGTGTTTTTCAACTTTTCGAGCCCTTTGTCCATTCTGATAAACCAAACAAATTACACCCTCACCCCTACCCCATCGCATTTGACAATGACTGTGGAAGAGCTTCCTCTGCATATTTTTACCAGTCAAAGTTTTATTTAGTTAGTTGTCAGAATATGAAATGTGCTTTTTCATGGCCAGGGGCAGTGGCTCCCAACAGTTTGGGAGGCCAAGGTGGGCAGATCCTTGATGTCAGGAGTTCCAGACCAGCCTGGCCAACATGGTGAAACCTTGTATCTGCTAAAAATACAATTAGTTGGGCATGGTGGCAAGAGCTTGTAATCCCAGCTACTTGGGAAGCTGAGGCAGGAAAATCATTTGAACCCAGGAGGCAGAGCTTGTAGTGAGCCAAGACTGGGCCACTGGACTCCAGTCAGGGTGACAGAGACAGACTTCGTCTCAAAAAAGGGTATTGAATATGCTTTTTCAATCTATGACATTCTCAGAGGTCATGTATTTTTCTCCACATCTCCTAAAGCCCAGTGTTTAAAATAAAAAGAGACTCATGTATTTTCTGAATGAAACAGTGTGTACCTAAACAGTGTGCATCTTTACTTGTAGGATGCTTCTTGTCCTTTTGGAGTTGTCTCTTCATGACTGAGTTGTCTTCTACACCAGGTGCAGTTACATGATAGACAATGTGATTCTGCTGATGAATGGTGCATTGCAGAAAAAATCTGTGAAAGAAATTCTGGTGAAGTGCCACCCCTTGGGCCGTTTCACAGAAATGGAAGCTGTCAACATTGCAGAGACACCTTCAGATCTCTTTAATGCCATTCTGGTAGAAACACCATTAGGTAGGAACACTCAAGTAATTTTGTAGCTGCTTGTATATGTTATCACAGTCATTAGAAAATGTACTATTTTTTCTTCCCTGTGTTTCAAAAGAAAATGTACTTTGAATTCACAATTATTTTTTCCGTGAATACAGTAGCATACCACGCAGATTCCTGGAAGTGGCAGAGACATTAAGGAATCATCTAGTTCAGTTCCCTCATTTTTCAGATCAAGACAAGTGAGGCAACCTGCTCAGATCACATGTGAAGCATCTGTAGCAGAGAAGGAATTGGGGCTCATCTCTCAACCTTCAAACCCTCACTTTATACCAGGTCATAGCAAATAAATAATGGAACTTGTCATTCTCCAAAATAATTAATTTTCTAGTTGCGTTTTATAGGATTAGTTTCTTGTCCTTTCATTTAAGCTTCTGTCTAGATAAGGTTACATATACGAAGCATTTTGTTTTAGGAAGTTTAAAAATGTCATTTTTCCGAGATGCTCATGGGTATCTGTCAAATCATCAGAAGCAATGATGAAATGATTGTTAATGTTATTTCATTATAACTTGGTAGTAACAAGAGTTGTAATATTCAAAATTCTAAAGATATAGTTGTATAAGCATCATTATCTAATATTGTCAGGAAATCTAGATAGAAGCAATTCACTATTGATCATTTGTCAAAATAGGTGCTCTTTAAAATAGACATTTTAAAAAGGAAGAAAATATATATTTGTGTTGTCATTAAACACCCGATGCTGAAGTAGCATAGGCTGGTTGAGAGAGGTTGAGACTGCAATCAGACAGCCATGGGCATGATGCCAGGCTCTGCCCGGTCCGAACAAGGTGACCAGGAACAATTCAGTTCACCCCAGTTTCCTCATTTTGGAAATAATGTACCTTTTCATAATAGAGTTTTAAAAACAAAACACACTTTTAAGTACAACTCAATGCCTGGCACATACTAAAGTTGCAAATGATAAATGTTATTATTAGGTAATGGAGGAAGGGGGACTTCCAGGAAAGTAAGCCTTAAGTGAATAGCTCCAAGGTATTGTGAAGGTTGAGTTAAAATATATTCAGTGTTTAGTGTAGTGAGTGAGGGTTAGGGCATCAGTCCCCAACCTTTTTGACCCCAGGGACCGATTTCATGGAAGACAACTTTTCCATAAAGGGAGAGAGGGGATGGTTTCGGGATGATTCAAACACATTACATTTATTGGGCACTTTATTTCTATTATTATTACATTGTAATATATAATGAAGTAATTATACAACTCACCATAATGTAAAATCAGTGGGATCCCTGAGCTTGTTTTCCTGCAACTAGACAGTGCCATCTTCAAGTGATGGGAGACAGTAACAGATCATCAGGCATTAGACTCTCATAAGAAGCACACAGCCTAGATCCCTCACATGCACAGTTCGCGATAGGGTTTGTGCTGCTATGAGAATCTATTGCCGCCACTGATCTGACAGGAGGCGGAGCTCAGGCGGTAATGCAAGTGATGGGAAGTGGTTGTAAATATAATTGAAACCACTCTCTGGCCCGCTGTTCACCTCTGCTGTGTGGCTCAGGTCCTAACAGGCCATGAACTGGTGTTTATCTGGGGACCCCTGGTTTAGGGCTTACATATGATAAATGCTTAAAAAGTAATAGCTGCTTTCATCCTTATTACTATTAGCCTTATTTAGTTGAGTGTATGGATTGCAACTCTGCAGTTTTCTTGTCAGGAGTGAACAGAAGGTGGTGTGTTCAGGATACATTTTCTACAGTTTATCATCTTGCTTAAGATTCATTTTTTGGTATGGGAATTTCTGCTTCCAGCTCCATTCTTTCAAGACTGCATGTCTGAAAATGCTCTAGATGAACTGAATATTGAATTGCTGCGCAATAAACTATACAAGGTAATGGTTTTCCCAAATACTGTGTTTTTCTTGATGACATAATATATTGTGACTAGAGTTCTCTATTAAAACCTACTTTGCTCATTAAACAATTTCTGCAATTATGAAACTGTGCATATTTGGAATATAGCTTTTAGCTCTAGCCTGTCCTCTAGTTAAATACATGCATGTCAGCTTCCCCTAGCCAGCAAGATATTTGCAAGGAATAACATGCCCTATCATCCATATTCCTAGCTCCTTGCATGGTATGTGGAACATAAAAGGTATTTAGATGGTGGTAGGTGAATCAGTGGAGTGAACAATATCAATCCATTTAAAGCAACCAGCATACATAGTAAACCTTCTGTTACGCAGTGTTCATCTCTCTCCTCAATCTTGTTAGTATCCCTGAATCTCACAGCTAATTTGCCCACACAATTTTAATCTACAGTGTGCAGCATACCAGAATGAACCATTCATGTATGCTGCTTCGTAGGTACCACTTTGCATGATCTGACTGTCTGTGTGGACTGTGCTGCCACCATTTGAGTAGCTGTAATAGACTATAGGCTGAGTAAAATCTGTCCATTTTTACTCAAACAACCATAGGCTCTTTGGACACTCACACAGAGTAATTGAATATATACTGCCATGCCATATATATAGCATGCTGTGTTCAAACATGTGGTCCTTTCAGAAGCATTGTATTGCAGGCAGTGTTATTTTTTTGGTAAAGTGCCTTATGGGCTTACAGGAGGTATCTTTGAGATATAACTAACAGAAGGCACTGTTCTAAGTAATTTATAGGCCTTAACTCACTTAATCCACCTGGCAAAAATATGATGTTTATGCTATCTGCATTCCTCCCGGGAGAAAACTGAGGCATGGAGAGGCAAAGTTTTCTTGGAAGAAGCCAGTTAGCTAAAAAGTATGAGCTGTGATCCAAACTCAGGCGGTCTGACCCCACATCCTTTCCCTTACAGCTCCATGCTCCACGCCAACTCAAATGTGCCTCTACAAGAGATTAAGTCAGCATAGGACTGAATCTAAAATTATTTACTGATCTCAGAAAAGAACTTGGCACTCTTGTTAAAATAGCAAGAATTAACCATATGAAATAATCCAAAACCATGCAAAAAAAAGTGCTTGTTAAGTAATTATAAGTTATGATAAATGCAGTTTTGTCCTTTTCTAGAGTTCTTTTTTAGTCTGTGCAACATGCTGCAATGTGAAAGCTTCTACCAAATTTATTATAAAATATCTCCCTATTGGAGAAGTAATTCAACTTCCATTAAAGCATTTAATAAACCATGAAAAGCTGATCTCAACATTTTCAAAAGGAATGTATATTCATTATTTCACTTTATGGTCTTTTTTCTTTTTAAGTCTTACCTTGAGACATTCTATAAATTCTGTAAGAATCATGGTGATGTCACAGCAGAAGTTATGTGTCCCATTCTTGAGGTAAGAAAAAGTCCTTGAATTTTTTCATGCTAAATAAGGCACTTACATATTTTTCATTGTTTTAACCTTACTTGTGTTCCCTTATCTTTGAAGTTTTTTTAATCTAAAAATAAAACAAGCAGTATATTTTACTATATATAATATTTGATGTATTTGGTTAAGAGTTGTATTTTCCAAGTTTTCTACATGGAAGAGTTATTTTGGAATTAGAAAATAATATGTACACAGATTTGGTTATGATTCATTTTCATGTAGTATGTAAAGAATAGATTATAGACAATAAAAATTTAGTATACGGTTGTTACCAGAAAAGGGTCCCAATCCAGACCCCAGGAGAGGATTCTTGTATCTCATGCAAGAAAGAATTTGGGTCCATAGAGTAAAGTGAAAGCAAGTTTATTAAGAAAGTAACGGAGTAAAAGCATGGCTACTTCATAGGTAGAGCAGACCCAATGGCTGCTGGTTACCCATTTTTATGATTATTTCTTGATTATATGCTGAACAAGGGATGGATTATTCATGTCTCCCCTTTTTAGATCACATAGGGTAACTTCCTGACATTGCCATGGCATTTGTAAACTCTCGTGGTGTTGGTGGGAGTGTAGCAGTGAGGAGGACCAAGGTCACTCATCACCATCTCGGTTTTGGTGGGTTTTAGCTGGCTTCTTTACTGTAACCTGTTTTATCAGCAGAGTGTTTATGACCTGTATCTTGTGCCAATCTCCTATTTCATCCTGTGACTTAGAATGTCTAACCATCTAGGAATGCAGCCCAGTAGATCTCAGCCTTATCTTACCAGCCCCTATTCAAGATGAAGTTGCTCTGGTTCAAATGCTTCTGACACTATGAGCAATGGATGGACTGTAGACACTCAATAATCGCCCAAATTCCTTCCGTTGAGGGAACATTGGGCAGCTAGGAATCCCCACAACTTGGCACCAAAAGTCCACTATGGCTTCAACCACAGGGATATTGTACATTATAAATCCTAAAATAAAGGCTGCCCCAAGCAACCCATGAGAGTTCCAGCTCTCAGCAGAAAGACTTCTTAGTTATGTGAATCGCAGTTGGTAAGCTCATTTAATTATGTGTCAAATGCCACCATTGGTGTCTACCTCTCTAGTTGATGGTATACTCTTGTTTTGTTTTGTTTTGTTTTTTAGACTTAGTTTCGCTCTTTTTACCCAGGCTGGAGTGCGATGGCGCGATCTCGGCTCACCGCAATCTCCGCCTCCTGGGTTCAGGCAATTCTCCTGCCACAGCCTCTGGAGTAGCTGGGATTACAGGCACACACCACCATGCCCAGCTAATTTTTTGTATTTTTAGTAGAGACGGGGTTTCACCATGTTGACCAGGAAGTATACTCTTGTTAATTCCTCTTAATCACCACAGATTTCATCTATGCTTAGGAGTCCTCTTGCATAAGAATGTTGATCTGCAGATGCATGGGAGATTCAGGGTGGAGTTCAGAAGGATCTGTGGGGCATCCTGTGCATAGTTTGTACTAAGTATTTTACATCCATCCCTCTTGTTAGTAAATAATTTCCTAATTCACTTAAAAAGAAAATAATAGCACTTTGTCCTGTTCTAAGCCTTACTTTGCCCTGTGAAATTAAATTTTATCTAAAGAATATTTTTAATCATTACATTATCTGGTACAGTGACTTCACTGGTGGGTGGAATTCTGATTTCAAGAAAAGTCTAATAAGCATTACCCTTTAGGTAAAAAGAAAAAAAATTAACTATCTGCAAATATTTCAACCTAATGTTCTGAAACTGAATATGATAAAACTAGCTCCCCTCAACATCTAATCATTAAAATTTTACTTGCTTGATATGACTTGTGATAAAGAAAAAAGAAACAAAAAAGTTTTATAGTTGAAGATACTTTGCTATTCCTTGTTGAGATTTTTGTTTGTTTGTTTGTTTTGATTTTTGAGACAGGGTCTCAATCTGTTGCCCAGGCTGCAGTGCGGTGGTGTGATCATGGCTCAATGTAGCCTCAACCTCTTGGGCTCAAATGATCCTCCTACCTCAGCCTCTTGAGTAGCTGGGACCACATGCACATGCCACCATGCCCAGCTAAGTTTTTTTTATTTTTTGGAAAAGATCAGGTCTTGGCCAGGCACAGTGGCTCATGCCTATAATCCAAGCACTCTGGTAGGCTGAGGTGGGTAGAGCACCTGAGGTCGAGAGTTAGAGACCAGCCTGGTCAACATGGTGAAACCTGTCTCTACTAACGATACAAAAAAAAAAATCAGCTGGATGTGGTGGTGCACATCTGTAATCCCAGCTACTTGCAAGGTGAGGCACAGAAAGCATGAAGGTTGAACCTGGGAGGTGGAGGTTGCAGTGAGCTGAGATTATGCCGCTGTACTCTAGCCTGGGTGACAGAGTGAGACTCCATCTCAAAAAAAGAAAAAACAAAGAAAAGGTTTCTGTATGTTGTCCCAGCCAGAAATTCTTAACATACAGCCAAAACACTTGTCAACTGAAAATCTTATCACTAAAGATCTCCAAGAAATATTTTTGTCCTTATCTATATTACACAGAAAGTGGATATTGAATAAATAACACTTTTTATGGCACAGTAAATGACAGAATGAAAAATAGTCTCTCTCAGTCATGCTAATCATGTAACATGAGTAACTAGCGACCCTACGAGGCCCTTCCCTTTCTTTTCATAAATTCAACTATTAGCCACACTATAAGAAGCCATATTGTCTATGGATCAAAAGTAGAATTTATACTCAGCATAATTCTTGTGGTTTAGAAATGGTTTGTATACTTTATACCCGAGAAATATGTGAAATAAAAGTCGTATCAAGACTGATAACCTTGTCAAAGGTATACAATAGCACTATTAATAGCTAACACTTAGTACGTGCTAGATGCTATCCTGAGTGCTTTATATACATGAACTCACTTAGACTTCAAAACCACACAGAATAGGTAGTCTAGTATCTATTTTTCAGAAGGAGCAATGACACTCAGAGAAAGCTAGTAACTTAACCTGATGTCTCACAGGATTTGAATGCAGACAGTTGACTCTGGTACCTATGTGCTTATCCACTCTGCCATAGTATCTCTGCATTAAATTCACCATTCAGAATTCTTTTATATGAAAGTAAGTGCTAATTCATAAGCAAGATCATACTGTGTGTACTCTAAAAATTGGTAAATAGGTAAGGTAAGAATTATGTCTTTATAAAAGGTAAGAAATAGGTAAGAATGATGTCTTTGTGATCCTTGGTAATGTAAAAAAAAGATAATATCAGAAAAATGCTTGTCACTGGGATGATTTGATCAAACGACCGTATGCCCAGTGTTCTCATTGTACCTTTCCAATCTTCATGGTATCAGATTAGATTAGTTTTTTCTTTTTCCAAATAGCATTAAAAAAGAAAAAAACCCCAGCTGGTCACAATAGTTTATGCCTGTAATCCCAGCACTTTGGGAGACCTATGCAGAAGAATCGCTTGAAGACAGGAGTTTGAGACCAGCCTGGGTAACATAGCAAGACCCCACCTCTACAAAAAATACAGAAATTAAGCAGGCATGGTAGAACACACCTGCAGTCCTTGCTACTCAGGAGGCTGAGGTGGGAAGATCGCCTCAGCCCAGAAATTCCAGGTTACAGTGAGCCATAAACGACCTCCCTCCAGGCTGGGTGACAGAGTGAGACCCTGTCTCTAAAAAATAAAAATAAAAATACACTGAGCTATTTTTATTTATATAGCAATATCAGCTCCACAGGACATGAAGTTGTAACAGTTATAATGATACGATCAAAGGGTGTCCGTCAGCTTTACATAAATACTTTGATCATGTAATTACCTCCCTTTTATTTGTGTAACTATAGAGCACTTACAGTTTATAAGTTCCATGTGTATTCCCATTTAGTCTCATTTGCCCGGAGACTTCAAGAGACTTAATATGGTAGAAGAGACCATTAACCTCAGTTTACATGTGAAAATTGAAACTAATTACAAATTGTAACTTCATATTTAAAAAAAAAGAAATTGACTTAGGTTCAAGGCAAATGCACTGTAGTATAATATTTGCCTTTTACTCCTACTCTTCAATCTATATGGTTAACAGGACAGTGAAAAACAACCATAAATTATGTTTGTTTGATTTCTACTGGTCAGTGCATGTGGTGATAAGGCTAGGCTCCATTCTAGTTCACTTCACTCTTTTCCATAGCCATTGACACCTCCACCCACTGCCTCCTGCCAGGTGTGACTTCTTCCCATAAGGAACTGGAGAGAATGTGTGACCCGATCAGTTAATCTGTAGGAGTTTATGATGTGCAACTGATAGTAATTTTGAGCAAGCCAATAGTACATTGCTGTCTCTTACAACAATAAAAAATAAGCTCTAGTTTTAACATGAGTACGTTTTTGTAGGGAACAGTAAAAGGAAAGGCATGGGACTGCCAACATATACCATACCACGCAGCCTGCCAACTCTCTGCAAGAAACAGGAGCTATGTCACACTACCACCAGCCCATTTAGTCTCCTCTAATCAAAGGCATGTCAAACTCTGCTTAGGGATGGTCAAAGAACAGTCCTTTTCCGATTCTAAAATTATGGGTTTTTTCACTAAGAAGGTAATACACAGGCTTACACAAAAGAGCCTCCAGACTAGAAGAATAGGTAGATATATAGTCAGTTATGATAAAAGAAAAATGAAATATAATCAGGGTTCAAAGAGAATCATATCCAATTAGAGAAGAAATAGAAGGGCTTGTTATGAAAAAGATGGCATTTGATGGGACATGAAGGCAGGGAGGATTTCAGCATGCAGAGTTATGGAACAGAGCACATGCATGGTAGGCTGAGGGAAGAAGTGGTAACAAGGACAAGGAGCTAGAAAGAGGATGGAGGGCTCAGATAACCTACTGTATCAGCCAAAGTCCTTTCTTATATTCATCTTCTCTCCTCAGCTATCTGTCCTTCCCACTTCTTCAATTGTTTTCCCAGTGATTGAGCCATGACAATTCCTCCAAAACATCCTGCTTTATCTCCCGCCGCTCCTTCCTCTGGCCTGGCCTCTGCTGTTTGCACATCTGCAGTGCTGCCTACCTTGCCCTAATTCTCTTCATAAGATCATAATATTTTAGAACCAGAGAGCGAATTAAGGAACATCTGGGACAATTACTTTTACTGCTCCTCTTCCTGCCCTAATTTTTGTTTTAAGGTTTTTTACTGCCATGAAATCTTCTCCTTGCATTTCTTCTCTTATCTCTAGAAGGTCTAAAATGACTGACAGGACTGGTTATATTCAGTAGCCAGAGGCAGTTGCCTTTGCTTCCAAATAAGCCACTCCCTACTTTTCAGTTCACCCATAATCTCCATAAAAGCAATCAAAAGGATCAGATGGAGGTAACTCTCACTCTTCTGATAGAAAACACCTGTTCTCACATAAGAGTTCCAGTGAGATCTGTTGCAAGTTGGGTTTTGTCATCTGTTAACCAGTCAAAAGCTGATTAGAGGATAGCATACAGCAATTCTTTTCAGCTTTCACATGCATACAAATAGCCTAGGAATCCAGTGGAAATGCAGATTCTGGTTCAGTAGGGCTGAACTGTAACCTGAGACTCTGCACTTCTAACGTGCTTCCAGGTGATGTTAAAGCTACTGATCCACAAAACGTTGCTTTGAATGCTATTCAACATCATGGAGAATGTTAGAGAATTTCAAAAGTAGTAGGATCACACATCATTCTGTTGGATTCAGTAAGTAGTTAAGACTTCCTTATGTGTCAGGCACTGGCTTTTCAAAAATGAACAAAAGGCCAGGCATGGTGGCTCATGCCTATAATCCTAATACTTTAGAAGGCCCAGGAGGGAAGATTTCTTGAGCTTAGGAGTTCAAGACCAGCCTGAGCAATATGGCGAAATCCCATCTCTACAAAAAGAATTAGCAGGGCATGATGGCATGTGCCTGTAGTCCCTGCTACTTAGGAGGCTGAGGTGGGAGGATCAACTGAGCCCTGGGAGGTGAGGCTGCAGTCAGTCCTGACCCCACCACTGCACTCCAGCCTGGATGACAGAGTGAGGTTCAATCTTAAAATAAAAACAATAATAATAAAAAGAACAATTAACAAGTGAGACATGGTTCTTCAAAGATTTTAGAGTGTAGTGGGGAGAAATAGAGGCACAGATTTCAAAATGAAGTGCTAAGTACTGAGCATTTGAGGTACCTAGAAAAGAGTGGCTTAGCCCAGTGAAACCATAGCAAGCACCCACAGTAGGCAGAGGAGGAGCCCCTGAAGGAGAGAATGAGATGGAATGGCCAGCGTTGAAAGTAGGAGAACCAAGAGACAGTAGAAACACAGAGCTCGAAGGAATAGAAACAAAATTTCAAAAAAGACTTGAGTGGTCAGATGAAATAGGAATGATGAGGGAATGGGAGCCCAGGTGCCTAGTGGTGTTCAGCATGGAGAAGACAGGCCGTGAGTATGTGTTGGTTGACCTGCCTTGAAGATCATGCAGCCACACTCCAGCATCTTACAAACAAGAAAACTTCTTGACAGAAAGATAACTTGCCCCAATCCACATAGTCCTTAGCTACAGTCTTAGATTTATTGATACCTCACCTGGGACAGCAAAAAAGAAAACCAAAACCATGAAAGCATAAACAAATGGTAGGTAGCACACAATTTCATTATGTAAAAAGTGATGGTGACATTGACAACTAGGAAGGGATATGACCATGTATGGCATTACTTTTTGTTTCAAACATCGTTCTAGGCCCTCCCACTTATATTTACCTGGTTCCGTCCCTGAATGAACCCTAAGAAATAGGTATTATTCTCCTTTTTTTTTTTTGAGACGGAGTCTCGCTCTTGTTACCCAGGCTGGAGTGCAATGGCGCAATCTTGGCTCACCGCAACCTCCACCTCCTGGGTTCAGGCAGTTCTTCTGCCTCAGCCTCCTGAGTAGCTGGGATTACAGGCACGCACCACCATGCCCAGCTAATTTTTTGTATTTTTAGTAGAGATGGGGTTTCACCATGTTGACCAGGATGGTCTCGATCTCTTGACCTCGTGATCCACCCGCCTCGGCCTCCCAAAGTGCTGGGATTACAGGCATGAGCCACCGTGCCCGGCCTAGTCTCGTTTTTATAGAAGAGACACTTGTGACGCTAGTGGCCTATGTGATAGAGACGCATGAGGAATTCATTGCAAGGTGCCCAGGAAATGAAGCTTAGTGGATTTCAGGAGTCATAGGCCATCACTGCTACTGGGTGATCCTTCTCTGACCAGCAGAGTCACTTTTACAAGAAAAGACTAAGGGAACGCTAATAACACATGTCTGGAGTATAATTAGACATAGATCCAGAAAGGAAAGCAAATCATTTCAGAAATGAATTTGTTTATTTAAGAGTCTGTCAATAGCATTTAGTAGTTTATTAGATTTTATTGATTTTGTCTTGCAAATTCAGTTTGAGGCCGACAGACGTGCTTTTATCATCACTCTTAACTCCTTTGGCACTGAATTGAGCAAAGAAGACCGGGAGACCCTCTATCCAGCCTTTGGCAAGCTCTATCCTGAGGGGTTGCGGCTGTTGGCTCAAGCAGAAGACTTTGACCAGATGAAGACCATAGCGGATCATTACGAAGTATGTGATGACACTGGCTTCCCTAAGTCCCTTGTGTTAGTTCATTTCCATGTGCTTTAGAAGTTCACACATCAAATTTCCACTTATACTCAAAAGAAGTAATAATATCTGTAAGGTAGCAAGCAGTGTCTTTTGCTGAAATGATCTCTCCCAAAGAAATACTTTAAGTTTCTAGCCCAAGCTACTAATTTTTAAGGTTCCTGCCAAGCAAGTACTTGTTTAAATCTCCAAGGAATGGTCATCTGAGCACTCCTTTTGAAGTGTTTGCTAAAGCAAGTTCCCCCAGGAGACTGATGCAGTGTTCTGGAAATGTGAGCTCAAATCAGTTATTATGTAATAGAGTCTGACCCAGCAGCCCTTTCAGGTACTGTCTGGGGAAACAAGGTTAGGCACAGAACTTCTAGGTGGACTGCAAGGAAGAATAAGGATGTATTAGTTTTTCCACTCACTTTGCTGAGTGGCCAGAAATCAGGAGAGGAATGATAGCTGCTTGGGTCCTTCCCCCACTCCAGCATCCAGTTGCTCTTGGGATGCCTGAAGCTCCTCCACTCAGGGTTGTGCACCTCGGCACAGCTTCCATTCCCTCTGACTCGCACGCAGGTACATAACCCCCAGGTAACTTTTCCAGGTCTAGAATGACACTCATCTTTTCCAGGTCTAGAATGACACTCATCTTTTCCTGTGGATTTCTGAAGCACTCTAGGAAAGATGGAAGTCAGCAAATGCATAAACCTTTGTGACATCTCATATCTAATTGCATGAGACTCTTTAGTATAATATTAAAATTTGAGCTTATTCCAAATTCCACACTGGAAATTGCATGTGAATTTTATCAATTTTAATCACAAAGAACCTATTTACCCATACTGATGTACCCACACTGATCAAATTATGAACATTCATTGAGCTTCTCTTATGTACCTAGCTAGCCCTAAGACCCTCGGTGAGAAAATAAGCTCAGACATTGTATATTGAGAGTTGAATTGTCTTGTAGCCCTGAACAAGTCGATAGGCTAGAATTTCATCCACACTTTTATTACTTGGATTTTTTTTTTGTTTCTTTGGGAAGCCAAAATCCTGTAAAAAACATTCAGTTTTTCTGGCATAGTTTTTTTAAAAATATTATGTGCATATATAATGCTAGGAAAAATATATGTATATACATTTATAAGAAATGAAAATGTTTTTAAAATTAGTGTCTTTTATTTAAGGTATACAAGCCTTTATTTGAAGCCATAGGTGGCAATGGGGGAAAGACACTGGAGGACGTGTTTTATGAGCGTGAGGTATGATATAAGCAGCGATGCTATTAGCTTGTTTTTCTCTTACTGTGTATTTTATGTATTTCCTTACTTTGGGTTTTCTTTTTACAGCTGATCATGCCAATTGGTTAGGCACATTCATAGCTTGATAGTCAGTGGTGTATTATAAACTCTACCTTGAAGAGACAGGACCTTCTGACTCACATATGATGGTTTTACATGGAAATGTTCTGTCCAAACAGAGGTGCACACAGTGAAGCTCTGGAAGAAGTGCAGCTGTTCCAAAATTAGTGAACTAGAGAAGCAAAGCTAGAGCATCCTCATGATCAAATATCAACTGTCTTCATTCTGGTACAATTCACTCTAATCCATCTCTTCCTCGAGAAGAGTTTATCCGGTGGGGCGCGGTGGCTCATGCCTACAGTTCCAGCACTTTGGGAGGCCAAGGCAGGCAGATCACTTGAGGTCAGGAATTCAGGACCAGCCTGGCCAACATGTCGAAACCCTGTCTCTACTAAAAATACAAAAATTAGCCAGTCATGATAGCACCTGCTTGTAATCCTAGCTACTCAGGAAGCTGAGGCAGGAGAATTGCTTGAACCTGGGAGGTGGAGGTTGCAGTGAGCTGAGATCACACCCCTGCACTCCAGCCTGGGTGACAGAACGAGACTCCATCTTAAAAAAAAAAAAAAAAAGTTTATCTATGGTTATAACTCATGGACACAATTATAATGCTTAGGAATTGATCATATGGAAATTCATTCAGAGAGTCTAGATTATTCTATCTGCACACCCCACCCCCACAAAGAAGCAAAAGTACTTGATCCATTTTGACAATTCCTGGGAGACTCTACTGTTCAACAATAATGGCTTTTTTTTTTTTTTTGGTACAGAAAAGATCCCCCAAGTCCACAGATTTTCTAGTATGTTCCATTTATTTATCTGAAACAATTGGCCCTTCCATCTCAATCTGATTGAAACTAACATAGAACCCTGAAGATTACCCAAACTTTAGGGTTAGACTGGTTTCAGAGTGGTTAGGGAACCTTCCTAAAGACCTAAGTTTTAGACATTTTCCAACAGCTCTCTAGTGTCTTTCAAAGAAAGAAGTAAAAACAAATGCAAATTAATTGATATAGTAGGGTTGCTTTAAAATTCCAACTATCACACAACTGCTGAAAAAGAGGCTATTAAGAATGCAGCCTTTGGTGGGAAAAATGAGTGTCTATTCCTGACAGCAGATACAGCTTCCATTCCCTGCCTACTTTGCTCAAGATTTTTGGAGGTACATGAGGGACTCAATACCTCCTCTTCTCCTTTCCATTCTAAATATCAAAATAGAAAAGAATAAAGGAATTGTTATATTCTAGACTTTACTCCAGTTTTTTTAAGTTTTTTTTTTTTTTAATTTTCTTGGTCTCACCTAACTTATATAGAAAAAAAATACAATTAAACTATAAGTAAAGTTGCTACAGAGCATTCCAAGAAAGCTCAGAATATCGCTTAGTCTAAATTCCAGGGACCTGTGACATTGCCTTGGAAGGGAGTTAGACTAAGCCTAAAGACCTATTTAAACTTTTAAAAGTTGTGGCCAAAAAGAAATACTTTATCTGAATGAGATATGTCTACTAGCTAGAAGCCAGGTAAGTATTAGTACAAAGTTACACACACACCTAGGAATCTTTGAGCTAGCAGTGCTGCTAAAATTTGGAGCTTTTCTTGTGATTCTACAAACTTACTTTTATAACCCTTGTTGTCTATATTTATCTGCAGAGTGACACTCTCCCGTTAGAGCTTTCTGAGTTGTCACCATACTCCTCTATCTGGCCCAATTTGGACATTGCCCATTTAAACACAAATAAGCACTGCACAAGTACAAGCCAGTCTGTAGCTTGATATTATTTCATAAACATAGTATGTTCCAAATAAGCTGATAGTCTGTATTACTTGTTTTCTTTCCTCAGGTACAAATGAATGTGCTGGCATTCAACAGACAGTTCCACTACGGTGTGTTTTACGCATATGTAAAGCTGAAGGAACAGGAAATGAGAAATATTGTGTGGATAGCAGAATGTATTTCACAGAGGCATCGAACGAAAATCAACAGTTACATTCCAATTTTATAACCCAAGTGAAGTTCTCAAATGCAGAAAATTATATATGTTAAAAGGAAGTTACTGAAGAAAAGAAAATAAATTTTATTATCTATTTTGTATACCTATAGGCTACACAAAAGCAAGGCACCCTGCATCTTCATGAGTTGCAAATCCATAGAAATACAGTAAACCAGCGCTGAAAGAAAGCATTTCCTTGTTTTCAGTGGCATTCGATCTTGTTTCCACATGTCTGTCTCATTCTTCACTGGGCCTTACGAGTTAATTTTAATTACCCCTATGGCATTTTCTTATTCTTGTTTAATCATGTTAAAAATTAGACGTAATAAAAGTATTTTATTCTTGCTTTTCCATGCTTCTCTACAGGCCCAAATACTGAATGTCTCTTTTTTAAAATTTTTTTCTAGAGAGTCACTCTGTGACCTAGGCTACAGTGTAGTGGTATGATCACAGCTCACTGCAGCCTTGACCTCCCAGGCTCAAGTGATCCTCCCACCTCTCAGCCTCCTAGGTAGCTGGAACTACAAGGGCACACCACCACACAAGGCTAAGTTTTGTATTTTTTGTAGAGACAAGGTTTCATCATCTTACCCAGGCTGGTGCTGAATTCCTGGGCTCAAGGGATCCACCCGCCTTAGTCTCTCAAAGTGTTGCGATTTGATATGTGAGCCACTGTGCCTGGCTTCATTTACATTTTAACTTTCTGTTCCTTGCCTAGATCCACAAAAATCCAAAGCTGTATGTAGCCAATATGGATCACATTTAATGGAAAACTTGTGTTTTGTTTTGTTTTTCTAATGTACTTTGATTCAATCAGTTTAAGAAAGCAACACAATTCCAAATTCTATCCTCTAGATGCAAGCAGTGTTCAATTTGTTAATAAATTTGTTTTTTTTAAATTTCTTTAAATAAAAGGTATATTTCTTTCTTATGGTTTCTTCCTTCTTTACATGTGATGAAAATAAGCTCCTTAATTGTAGTTCACTCATTCAAAAATCGCAGGTTCGGTTTGCAGAGTATGAATTCTCTATTAAAATCTCAGTAGAACTGGTGCATAGAGCTACCTACTCAAGACCTTCCTTTAAATATAAAATATATTCCTAAATGTAAAATCTACATTTGCTATGTTTTAAAAATTAAACTTGTATGTATTTGAAAATTCTTAAAAAAAATCAGAATATTTATAGAGTATACAAATATTGGTATCTAGAATTAGATGTATAGACCAAGAAACAAATAAAATTTTCTGCAAAATTCCAACTTTTTTGCTTAAATATTTTAGTAATTTCAGTGATAGAAACTTTTTTGTTGTCATTGAAACAGGGTCTTGCTCCATCACCCAGGCTGGAATGCAGTGGTGGGATCACAGCTCACTGGAGCCTCAACCTCTCGGGCTCAAGAGATCTTCCCACCTCTCAGTCTCCCAAATAGCTGGAAATACAGGTATATGCCACCATAACTGGCTAATTTTTTTTTTCTTTTTTAATGTAGAGACAGTGTCTTGCCCAGGCTGATCTTGAACTCCTGGGCTCAGGCAGTCCTCCCACCTCGACTTCCCAAAGTGCTAGGATTACAGCCACTATGCCAGGCTGATAGGAACTTTTAGGCATATGGTAAAATAGTGGCTTACAGAACCAGGAGGAGAGCCAAGTGCCGAGCTTCACATCTACGCAGGAGGCCCAGCCCACATCAGTATCCTGAAGGTATCTGAGGCACCCCCTGGACAGCTCCAGTGCAGACCCATCAGCTGGAACCAAAGCACCCACTGAACAAGTGTGGCCCCTGGTCTGGAAAGCATCTTCCCCTCCTTGCTCAGGATGCTGTCCTTCATGGGAGGGCTTGGACCCAGAAACACCTCTATTGTACATTTTAACCTGTGGTCTCCGGTGATGGGTTTAAGGCGTAGGGCTCCCTTAAAGATTGGGAGAAAAGACACTAATGGGAAAGGGGTGGCTTAAAGAAAGGCACAAGTTGATTCTCAGACTATCCCCTTCCCACCCACCTCTACATGATATGGGTAGCGACCTTTATGTACCACAAGGCTGCAGGCTGAAGTTAAATTCCATTTCCCTGGATATAAACAGAAGATTCTAACTCCATCCTCAGCCACCCAAAAATCCAACCATTATGTGAGTATTGAAGAGAGGAACTTCCCTAATCCCTTGAAGCAAGTAGAAAGTGCCCCTAGCACGGATAAGGATATAAACGTTGCAATTTTTAAAACTTGCCTTGAAGTTTCTTAGCCTTTAGGGGTGGAGCAAGGATCTGACTGCTCTGTCGTGCCTCAGGGAACTGGGTTAAAATGGAAAACACGGACCTTTGAAAAACTCCTTACAAAATAAGGCCCAAAAGTTCAAATAACTGTAAATGGAACTTGGAAAACAGTGAGAGAAAACCTAATTTCTTGGACAGGGAACAGTGGCTCACACCTGTAATCCCAGCATTTTGGGAAGCCAAGGCAGGTGAATCACTTGAGGTCAGGAGTTTGAGTCCAGCCTAGCCAACATGGTAAAACCCCATCTCCACTAAAAGCACAAAAATTAGCCAGGTGTGGTAATTAGCACACCTGTAGTCCCAGCTACTTGGGTGGCTGAGATGGGAGGATTGCTTGAGCCTGGGAGGCAGAGGTTGCAGAGAGTCAAGAACATTAATTTTTTTTTCTTTGAGATGGAATCTTGTTCTGTCACCCAGGCTGGAGTGCAGTGGCATAATCTCGGCTCACTGCAAACTCTGCCTTCCAGGTTCAAGTGATTCTTCTGCCTCAGCCTCCCGAGTAGCTGGGATTACAGGCGCCTGTCACCACATCTAGCTAATTTTTGTATTTTTAGTAGAGACGGGGTTTCACTATATTGGCCAGGCTGGTCTCAAACTTCTGACCTCGTGATTCACCCACCTCAGCCTCCCAAAGTGCTGGGATTACAGGTGTGAGCCACTGCACCCGGCCTAATTTCTTGATCTAAGTAACTGAAGCTGAGGCTCCTCACCATCCCTTCTCCACCCTCCTCCTGAACATTTCATCAGTCCCTCAAATTCCCTCCTCTATGTGCTGCAGTTGCTGTCAGAACGTTATATTTCAATTAAACTCTAGACTCAGAATTCTTGGTGGTCTGCAGCCAGTCCTGCCTGTAGTCTGAGGGTCTCCAGCCTTCTGCTTCCAACCATTGCTGTCAAGGGTTCACAAGTCTTCTATCAGCCTATCTGTGAGCAGAATTTCTTAGTTCTCTAATGACAGTTTGCAGTTGCAGAATTGTGTTGTTCTATGGGATGAGACAAATGTAGCAGTTGCAATTCTCAGGACATTTGGAGAACATTTCTGAAGAAATGTAGTCATTTTGGTTGTTCAGAGCTTTAGGAAAGAGGAGCACTGACTGAGGGCTGGTGGAGATACTGAATTTGAGTTTCGCCCAAAGCAAAGTATTATTGGGAAATGACAGAATTCTGTTAAGCAACCTGGAGGGCCCCCACCCCCTCCACAGCATGGCAACAGAGTAATAGGGCATTGGGAGGCTAAAAGAAATAGTCATAGGCCTGGCTTACACCTATACTTCCAGCACTTTGGGAGGCCGAGGTGGGCAGATCACTTGAGGTCAGGAGTTTGAGATGAGCCTGGCCAACATTGTAAAACCCCATTTCTACTTAAAATACAAAAATTAGCCAGGCATGGTGGTGCACACCTGTAATCCCAGCTACTCTGGAGGTGAAGGTTGCAGTAAACTAAGATCATGGCACTGCACTCCAGCCTGGGCGACAGAGCAAGGCTCAAAAAAAAAAAAATTGTAGAATGAGGAAGTCTTGGTGACAACTTTTAAGTCTATCACTTAAAAATACTGTTAATAATATCTTAGATCGCACAGACAAGACACAGGAAAGATGCATTCACAATTTCACTCTGTTCTGTCTTAGTACTCTCAGGAGCAGACAAAATTCTCACTGTTGTATGATTCATTTTATTGGGAGGCTGAGGCAGAATTGCTTGAACCTGGGAGTCGCAGTTTGCAGAAAGATCGCCCCATTGCCCTCTAGCCTAGGACACAAGAGCAAAACTCCATTTCAAAAAGAAAAAGAAAAACATACAAAATGAGGCCCAAAAGTTCAGGGACTGTATATGGAGCATGGCAAACAGTGAGGCAAAAACTAATTTCTTGGGCAGGGTGCAGTGGCTCACACCTGTAATCCCAGCATTTTGGGAAGCCAAGGCAGGTGAATCACTTGAGATCAGGAGTTTGGGACCTGAGGTCAGGAGTTTGGAGTCAATTTCTTTTCACTTCAGCAAATGGAAGCACTAGTACTTATATACACTGAATAAGAATTGCTGGGGAATATATGTGGCATTATCTGAGGGCATCATTCTCAGAGATTTCATCCCTATGTCTCACAATAGCTGAACCCAGGAGTTTTGATGTCATCTTGGATGACTGCATGGTAATAAGATGTCTAAGTTTTTATATACACAAACATCGGACGTGGAAGCTATAATAATGCCCAAACTGCTTTCCCTAAGTAATCCCTCTCTCCGGCATCTTCATTATTCCATCTGGCCTTCCATCAGTGGCTTTTCCACTGACTCCCCCTTTCTCCTCTGTCTCCTGTATTGCAGTTTTCAACTTCCACAACTTACTGAACTTCTGATCAGTAATTTAAATCCAAGTCATCACAGCCCTACTCAGCATGGATGACATCTGGCTCCTTACATAAGGGAGGCCAGGTTAGAGTTATCTTTGGAATGAAAGCAGAATAAGTAAAGAAGATCTGTGTAAAGACCACTGTGAATATCAATATATTAGAAAGGAATTGTCCCCAGAGAATTACCACTTTAACTAGATCCACAAATGCCATTCAAAACCAGGCTCACTGATAAAATATAAACACACATCAGTAACTCTATGGCAATAGCAGACTTCTGGTATTCCTGAGACTGCCGGTACTTGCTGGTGGGATGGATCTTTTATCCCAGCACCAGACTTGCTGACACTGAGTTGAGCTCTTCGGTGATGAATGTCATTATTATCTTTATCTTTTAAAGGAATAGCAATTCTAGATTTTAAATGATTTATACATTTTCTGATTCTAATTTTGTAGGTTAAAAAAAGCATCTATTTAGCTACTCAGTTGTTAATGCTAAGTTGTACATTATATTGTGTAAGATGTTCACTGTTTCACATTTTGGGTTTATTTCAACTTGGGTTTAAAAATATTTTGTTTTCATATGGATGTAAGTGTGGATACCAATATATTTCAGATAATTTCTACAATATCAGAAATTTTTTTTTAATTAAAAAATTATTTTGAAAATAAAAGCAAACTTAGAACTCAGATGTAATATCTTCATGGTTCAATTTTTTAAAATTCAGTAATGTATTTATTAAGATTGGCTTGGATGGGTGGGTGATCAGGAATCCCAGCTCCCAGTGTCCAGATCATGGGTTTGTACAAAAGGATTCACCCTGGTTGTATGATGACAGTTGTACATGCTGAATAAATCCTTCAGAGCTTCAAATGCTTTTCAGTAGGTGGATCATAAGAAAGTTCTGCAGGATCCAGACATGCAAATAAATAAACAAACATAAATTATGTAATAGGAAATTAACACTTGACAGTTTAACTGTGTCCTATGCTAGATGTAATTCCATGAAACATCAGTATTACTTTAGCTATAGAATTTAAAATGAGTCTTTAACAGTGACTTTAACCCACGGATATCTTTCTTCAGAATAATAGACATTTGCACATCCTCCCAAAATTTTGCATGATGCATGAAAGGATTATGGATGCTCTAAAATCCATTAATGAGCAACCTAGAGGTCTATAGACTCCAGATGAGACACCTCCATTGCATAAGCTGAGAAATGGAAGAAATGGCAAGTTAGAAAGCAATAAATGGAAAAATATTTTAATTTGAAAAAGAAAATATAGGTACACACATACCT